GTAGTGAGAGACATCAAAAGTGAGCCTTGTTTTGTTCACTGCTTTCAGACACTTAGAATAATCACCATTATCCTCATTTTCAGATTAGAAATTTGATATAGAGTGATTAAAAGTGATCAGTCTGTTGTCACTGAACTAGGCGTAGTGAGTGATAAGAGACTGCCTTCACTAAGATTAAAGCTCTCAGCCTTCTGTCTCATTACAGTTCCATAGACAATTCCATACAAGCCATGTACAATTCTATTTTTGTCTCAGGTGAAATTGGTTTTTCTTTTTCAAATGCAAATGAAGAATTTAAGGGGAGGTTGATTCTCATACACTACTGGGTTAGAGAGTAATTTGATATACTTTCTGGGAAAACAATTTGGCAAGATCCTTGAAAACGTTTTTATATTTTACACACTAATTTTTCTCCTAAAATAATCTGTCCTCAGACAATCTGATAGAGAGAGTATTTGTTATACCTTGATTTATGAAAGGGAAAACTACAAATCCAGATATCCAGTTAAATGCAGTGGTTAAGTGTTATGATTATATGATGGAGTATTATGAATGATTCAAATTATGTTTTTATTTGTTGTTGTTTTTTTTTAAGATTTTATTTATTTATTTGACAGACAGAGATCACAAGTAGGCAGAGAGACAGGCAGAGAGAGGGGGGAAGGCAGGCTCCCTGCTGAGCAGAGAGCCTGATGCAGGGCTCGATCCCAGCACCCTGGGATCATGACCTGAGCTGAAGGCAGAGGCTTAACCCACTGAGTCACCCAGGCGCCCCTCAATTATGTTTTTAAATCAGTATTTCATGGCATGGGAAATGATTATAATGTGATATTGGGTAAACATGGAAAGAAATAAAGGTTTAGAGATTTAAGTTTTATGAAAATGGTATGTACATATATAAATATGTGTAAATAATGAAGAAAGCTTATGTTCTTTTTTATAGGTTTTTGATTTCCTACATTTTATATAGTGGTTATTAAAATGCATTTTTTAGTGTATTCAAAGAGTTAATAACAGAGAGGGTAAAGCCTTCTTTGGGCTTTATCGAGTCAGCCATTTCCTTAGGGAATCTTGATTTAACACTTTGGTTTCTAATTAAAGTATTTAGGCTTACTTTTCTAAGCTTTAGCAATATACATAATATTATAATGGGTAAAAGTGATGGGGAAACTGCCATTTATCAAGTATGTTCACTCCCTGAGAATATTTAGCTCAGGTGCTTTCCCTGTACACACTAAAGCTTATATTTCAAGTATGATAACTTCCTTTTAGCAAACAGTAATGGGATAAATAAATAATTTGTCAATGCATCCTTATATCTTTACCAACACACTAAAATATGCCACACATTTATTTGAAGCTGAAATTAAAGTGTTTAGAAATGGAAACATCTGCAGAGAAATCTAGGCTGTTCTATGGTGGTAGTAGTGGTGGTGGTCCCATCAGTGATTTGCTAATAATTAAACTATATTTTGATTAATAGGATCTTAAATCATTTTCAGAAATTAGCATTTATATTTCTGTATCTGCAAAGAACCAGAAAATATAAAAGAGTGCCAAATGTTGCATTTTATTCTTGGTTAAGCTTCATTGAGGAACATGGCTTAACAACTGGAACTCAAAGAGTTTTGGGTTTTGCTAGTAACATATTGAGAAGCCTGGGGCAAATCACGTAACCTTTATCCAGTACATCTGCCTTATCTGTAAAATGGGGCACTGAACTAAGAACAATGATTTTTCAAGCTATTCCTGACTGGAAGCTCCAGGGGGGCAAGGACTATGAGAGTTTTTGCTCTTGGATCTGGAGGGCTTGAATACTAGCCAGCATGTAACTAATAGATAACCAGCTATCACTAGCTCTGAGTTAAATGAGTGACTGGGTGTGCCCTTGGCATAATAAATAAATAAATTTAAAAAAATTTATTTCTCAGATCATGGCATTCTTTTCTTTTTTCAAGGTTAGTTGCTGAATTCTAAAAGTGATTCCTTCTATAGAGCTCTAGCTCTTCCAAAGAGAAATCTTATTCATTATCTTAATTAAGAATCTAATTTATAACTATCCTGATATGAAGAGGGGATAAATAATCACTTTCAGTATGGATATTTTCTACTGAAATGTAATTTCATTCATTTATAACTATAAGATACCCATTAGGGAACCTACCCACAAGAGATTGGATATAACACTTGAGGCAGAGTTCATTGAAATTGGGACTAAAGGAGCAGGTGTTAGAATCATCTTGAATGGTAATTTTATCACTTAAAACTAAATTTTGCCTTGCCTAAGACACTTAGTAGTGCTTTCACTTAAAAACAACAACAACAACACTATACTCATATTTCGATGACAGACACAGCATATAAGGCACATGCTCTATCCAGGGGTAGGGAAAGAGTTTGCCACTGGGTGTGACTTGGGTCTATTTCAACTTAGTTTTAACTTGTCACTTTATGACATCTGGACTTTAGTACATAGCATCAATAAAAATAATAAATGAGTCAGTGTCATAAGTGGAGCGAAACAAAAAGGGAAAAATGCACTTAAAATGTAATAAAAATCCTCTTTCAATATGCCACTGAACAGAGAATATTACTAGCATTAGAAGATTTCATTTGCTGCATGAATCCTGAAAGAAATAATTAAAAGGACATAAAATGACTGTTACCACAGTGAATCTAAAAAATTAAAAATCCTGTAAGGTAAATGAAATAGAAACAGAATGATCTATTTCCCATTAAGCTATTCAGTGTAATGTGTGTGCATGTGTGTATGTATTTTGCAATTATTTTTATTTTTTGGCTTTTCAAGCACTAATTTCATTTTCAGCTTGAGGAAAATATTAACACGAGCTAGTGCTTGAAATATCTTCAGGTTCAGTGCTGAAATATTTTCTTAATTTTGCCTGGAATCTCATCAAACAGCCAAGATACAGAATTCAGACTGGGGTGGAAAATCAAAGAAAAGCAAATTGCTTTTGCAGAGTACTAATGCGACAATAAACTTTGTAAGAATGCCCATGTTCAACAGGGTTAATAAAGCCATTGTTTCCTTAGTCCTGGCCATGTGCAAGGCTAAACTGGGCTAAACTCAAGCCCTTTTATTTAATTCCTTCAATGGACCTATGAAATAAGGACTATCCCATTTCACAGATGAGGTTTAAAGAGATGAAATAATTTAGGCTACACAAGTGGCAAGTGATAGATTCAGACCCAGACCCAAATCTTCTTGAGTCAATGATCTTTTACACAACTTGATGCTGTAAGTTATGCCTCCTAGCCATCATGGGCTCCCATGTCACCCAGGCCATGCCCTGCCCTAGTACTTTTCTCATTGTAGTTCATTGTTTCTGCACATGCCTACCTCCCCCTACTCTATGGTTAGCTCCCACATGGCAAACATAGTGTCTTATTTACCCTTCTAGTTCCACGGGTTTAATGCAGGGGCGTGCCCCATCATAAAAGCTCAATAAGGACCTATGGAACGATTAATGTCAGAAGTCATTAAAGATTAATATAATAGAACATTGCATTATTATGGAAAACAACTGACATGGAAGGAGAGTGCAAAGTGCTTCTAAACCTCTGTTAGGCATTGTTTTCCTCAAAGATGAGATTTTTCAGGATAGGTGAGTTGATCCCCACTCCCTATGGGAATTCAAAGAGTATAAAAAACCTACAGAGTAGCTTAAGTGATACAAAATAATAGGGACAGTATTAGGAAAGATTAAGGGAAGGGATATGGAAAGTATACTTTAATTAATGGTCTTCACACTTATGATGGATTCGTCTTTTACACAGGGAAGTGACCAACTTTTCATCGATAGTGAGCCCCAAACAAAAGGAATACTCAGGATATTTCAAGCTTTGGGTGATTTTTAAAGGTTCAAATGCATGTAGTTACAGGAGTGAAAACTATTTCATATTAAAACTTTATTCAGTATAACTTAATTGAGAAAGATCAGCTCAGTTTGAGAGGTTGAAAACCTTTCAGAGAAAAACATCTCCGATAAGGAAGAGTTTACCAATGGGGTTGGGTGAGGATTCTAAGTGAGTATGTACATGTATCTTTAAAGTGGGTGGCACCAATTGTGTAATCACATCTTGCTTGATGATGCTCTGATTAAATATGGTGGTAGTGTCCATTTTAATCTGGGTCCTTAATTGCCCTGTCTGAAAGCTACAGGTAGTAAGAGGTCCCTAACCCTTAGAGAACTGTCTAAGCATGCTTCTGCCATTTGTGCTCTCTTCTGAAGGGTGCCTAGAGCTTGAGTTCTCCTGTTTCCCTCAGCAGTCTTTAGGAGTCAAAGACCAGGATGAAGGGGGGCTGCCATGTGGTAGTGGTCCCACCTTTCGGCAGTGCCACTTCCAATTGTCCAAGCCCTACAGAAGGCTGGTGAATACCTTTTCACTCCCTGGACATAAATTTATTTGTAAAATGAAAATCTTTCAGAGTGACAGAAGACACACATCGAGGGTGGAGTTCTCTCAGCCCGTGCCAGCACGTCAAGTTGCAAGGGCACTTTCGTCAATTTTGTTATCTCGTAATTGATTCACATGAATCCACCTCCAAAATGGAGTAGAGTCCATTATCCTGAATTTTGTTTCAGTTGTGAACAACTCTAAAACAGAGACTAGACTGAAATGAATGTTAATGCCCTAGTTTAGTTAGCTCTTGGAGGAAATAATATTAAGATCTTTTTCTGAGACCCTTCTGGACCACCTTAAGACTCTGTTCTTTCTATGGGGAGATCCATACCCCTCTCCAAACTTTACTTGTGGTGCTGTTGTGTAATAGTCCCTATACTCGTCAGCTCATCTGAATGTGTTACTAGGTCCTTGAGAGGAGAAGTATGTCTTTTAACTTTGCATTCCCAGTATCCAGTACTGTGTGTTGCAGACTTTGTCATGGTCAGTAAATATTTATTGGATGACTTTTTTTTTTTTCCTGAAATAGCCCTTTTCTCTTTTCTTCTCACTTATTCATTTCTCATTTTCTTCAGGTTCTCTCCATCTGTCCCAAGGACATGAGAGCTGATATCTGTGTTCATCTAAACCGGAAGGTTTTTAATGAACATCCTGCTTTTCGATTGGCCAGCGATGGGTGTCTGCGCGCCTTGGCGGTAGAGTTCCAAACTATTCACTGTGCTCCTGGGGACCTCATTTACCATGCTGGAGAAAGCGTGGATGCCCTCTGCTTTGTGGTGTCAGGATCCTTGGAAGTCATCCAGGATGATGAGGTGGTGGCTATTTTAGGTACTGTGAACTTTCCTAATGTAGTAGCAAATGTGTAACAGTTTTAGAGATTTTGCTTCTCAGGTTTCTTAAGAGAAATTTCCTTTGCTTGGTGACTTTGGAAATTGGGTCACTAATGAGATGATGAATCTTAGTGAAAACTAGTAATGCTCTTTCAGCAAAGAGCATTAGTACTGGTCACAGCTTAATGAGCTGTACAAGGGTTTGATTAAACTTTCTTTGGCAATGGTAAGACAATACTTTTAGATTAGAGCTGATCATAGCCTAAGGTGACTGTACCGCCTGTTGTTGATAAGTGTGAAGAAGATGGCTTGTGGAAATATTTTTGGGTTAGCAACCTAGAATGTTAGTCTCAGAGGGGCCATAGAACCTGTCTAACTCAACACTTTCCTTTAGAGATGAGCAAAATGAGGACCAGAAAAGTTGAGTGGCTTGCCCAGCTGGTTAATAAATGAGTTAGGACTTGAGTACAGATCATCTTATTCTAAATATTTCTGTCTCATTCGTCACAGTGGACCTAAGTAATGAGCTAAAAGTGTTGAGGAGGTAAGTGAATTTGACCCATTATATTGGAGGAATCATAATACAAGTAAATTTAGGTTTATAAAGCTGGTTCTGTCCATTCATGAGCCAAGAAAATTATTTGGCTAATAATAAAGTTCATTCTAAAATTCGGAGGCCCAGTGGATGGTTATACTAACAAAAAAAGGCAGTGATAGTATATGTAAATAACAAAATTTTGAAGAAATTAGATGTTTGGGGTAAGGTAATATATATATTGGTGAAACTATATGAAATGGCATTTAAGATCATTTCTGCTCAAATCTCTGTAGCAAGTTCATAAAGTCCACGTAGATCTAAAAGGAAACAATAATGAGGTCAGAAGAGAATCACCCCTTGTTTTTCTCTCAAGTAAAAGAAGTTAGAATTGCAGGATGTCAACTCCATTTTCATCATATTTTTCATGGCTCGTGTCTCATGAAAAATGAGCTCAGTTTTTAAACTACTGGATTTTTTAGCTACTGAGGTCAACCTACCATAGCTTGAATGCCACTTATTTTTGTGAGTCAAAGATTGACTTATGTGTCTGAGAAGCTGCAAAAGCAAAACCCAGCACAGAAATGAAGAACTGATTTCAAAAAGCACAATTGCCTGAAAAAACAACAGACTTGAGAATTGAGAAGCAGTGACCCTTCGTAGGAAAATAGGTTGGGTAAAATTCATAAGAATTACAGAAAGCGGTTCAGGATTGCAAGGGACCGAACACAATTGTTTTATAAACCTCTCCTTAACTGTTTAGAAATAATAGTACAGTTAAGGGGAAAGCTCTTTTAGGGATAAAATCATTCCTAAAAGAGCTTTCCCCTTAACTGTTTTTTATTTGTGATTTTTGCAAGAAAAATTCATATAGTACCTGAGCATCAGCACTGGGTGTGTGTTTATTTTTATTTTTTTAAAGATTTTATTTATTTATTCACAGACAGAGATCACAAGTCAGGCAGAGATCACAAGTAGGCAGAGAAGCAGGCAGAGAGAGAGGGGGAAGCAGGCTAACTGCTGAGCAGAGAGCCCGATGCGGGGCTCGATCCTAGGACCCCGGGATCATGACCTGAGCCGAAAGCAGAGGCTTTAATCCACTGAGCCACCCAGGTGCCCCTGGGTGTGTGTTTAATTCCACTTGGTGTTTATTCTGCTTTGTTTCCTGGAGTATAAAGGAGTTATAGATAATCCTTCATAAAAAGTGTACATTTTGCCAGAACAGTCCTTTGTGGTAAAACAAAGCATAAACACACTATAACCATTCTTGTTTGCTTTAAGAAGAGGATAGAGCTCATACCCGAAACAGGTGTATTTTCTTTTCCTGCACGTTGGTGTCAATGGTGGGCGGAAGGTACCGGGTACACGGTGAAGCAGTTCTGCCTCGTGATGAATGACCTCAGCTGTGTACTCATTGTCATTTGCTTTGCCCCATTTTCTTCATCACAGTCTCACCTTGGTAACTTATTTTCTAGAAAGAAGGCTGGAAAAAGCCCCAGGCGCAGTGCCTCCGGCTTGGGTCTGTCAAGCTAGAATCATTTACTACTCAGTGAGACAGACAAAATGCATTTTCTTTCCCTTTTAAAATAAAATGGTAGCTGGTTTTGCACAACGACATAGTAAAAATGAACACAGGGCTCCTGGGTATCAGACCAGCCTCATCATACGTCTGTCACATTTTATTTCTCTGTGTGCTTTTTGTTTATCTTCTTCAAAAACTCCTGGGATTCAGAGACTTTTCATTTCTTGGTTTAATGAGTCAAATTATATGTACACCTCTCTCTTCCCTGGAAACTTTTCTTTCCTTTTTTCCATGGGCATCGACTATAGATTAATTCAGCTAAAAGGTCGTCAGATGATTAAAAAAAAAAAAAAAAAAAAAAAAAAAAAAAAAGTTTTGACCCGGGAGTGATTTCTGAGGGCGGAAATGTGTGTGTAAGGCGGGGAGGCACAGCGGTGGCCGAAGCTGTTGGGGGCTGGCAGGCTGCCTGGGTGCCATGGGGCCCAGCAAAGACACTGTCTTATAGGATTCTGTGGTGTGGGTCAGTGATGACGTGACAGATGCGGAGACGAGCTTTGAGAACTCTGTCCTGCTGTGTAGAGCATTCTGCCAACCTGGGTTTCTTGGAGAGGCAGTGTGAAGACACTGTGGACCGGGCGTGTGGACTCGGGATGACCTTCTGCAGGAGAGAGGGTATGGAGCTGTGGACGGCCTGCCCTTGTGTTCACACCATGTGCCCGTCCACCCTGGAGGCAGCTGAAGCCCTGCCTGGAACCTGCCAGAAAGGCCTTTCCCTACCAGCCAGCCTCTTGACTTGTAGGTCCTCTCTCCAGCTCCATTTTATGACTTCTTAGTCTTGTCATGTCCATTTTGTGACTTAGTCTTGTGGTTTCCATTGAGGATGTATGGTTTCAGACTTCTCTAAGTTAAACTACTTTCTTTGACGATTACGAGAACAGCGGGAGGGTTAACACTCAAGATGCCTTGATAATGTTTTAAGAAAGGGAGAGGAAAAGGGAAATCCAATAGTGTCACTCCTGATATTTGGGGACTGTCCATTCCTTTCCTGCTCCTCCTGTTTTTCTTCTTCCTCTTCTCATTTTTTTGGTAGTTGAATTTTGAAATAATTCCAAGCTTAATGAAAAGTTGCAAAAATTATCAGGGTGTGGAGTTTGATATATATCTTTAGGTTTTCTGCTTTATTGAGTAAGTTGACTGGGTCTTCTGCCTGCATAAACTTTGGGAGGTATTTATAGGTTTGGTTTCAGACCACCACAAAAATGCAGGTATCACAAAAAAGTGAGTCAAATGAATTTTCTGATTTCCCAGTGCATATGAAAGTTATGTTTACTCTATACTGTACGTTTAAGTGTGCAATCGCATTCTGTCTAAGAAAAAAGTATATACCTGTATTTAAAAAATATTTTATTGCTGAAAATTGCTAACCATCATCTGCGCTGTCAGCGGCTCATAATCACCGATCACAAGTCACTGTAACATCTACTAATAATGAAAAGTTTCAAGTGTCGTGAAAGTGCCTCAAGTGTGATACCGAGATACAGTGAGCAAATGCTGTTGGAAAAGTGACGCTGATAGATTTGCTCAGTGCAGTGTTGCCACAAATCCTCAACTTGCGAGAAAACCTGGTACCTGGGTGGGTGTCCACGTGTCTCACTGCTAATGTGTTTTCTTTGTGTCTCCTTGCGTTTGCTGTAGTTTGTGTTGTTTGGTGGATGCCGCTGTGTAATTTGGTGCATGGATATTCCTAACTGTATATCCTCATAGTGAACTGTGGCTTTTAGCATTCAGCTGTGTCCTTTTTCATCAGGTCTAATGATTCTTTGCCTTCTAAGAATTGGAAAGAAAGAACGTCTCTCACATCTGAGCATATGTCAGAAAAATGAGACTTTATCCTGTTAGGTCCGTAATCAAAGGAACAAGACTGATACGAAGCGAAGGTCAAGCAAAGCTTTATTTTGCGCCAAGCATCGAGAATCAAGCCGACTGGTTGGGGTCGCCTCTTTGTAAGAGATGGCCCTGACCAGTCAGTTTGATTCTCGATGCTTGGCGCGAAATAAAGCTTTGCTTAACCTTCGCTTCGTATCAGTCTTGTTCCTTTGATTATGGACCCAACAATCCCAGTTGTCCTCATAGGAGAAACAAGTGGGCCTTGCTGTCTTTTACACTGATTCATTTGCAAGTTGAAATGTAGAGAAGGGAGGTCATTTTATTATATATTTTTAAAGGTTTTATTTATTCATTTGACAGAGAGATCACAAGTAGGCAGAGAGGCAGGCAGAGACACAGGGGGATGCAGACTCCCTACTGAGCAGAGAGCCCATGTGGGGCTTGATCCCAGGACCTTGAGACCATGACCTGAGCCCAAGGCAGAGGCTTTAACCCACTGAGCCACCCAGGCGCCCCAGGGAGGTCATTTTAATTAAAATTGCCAAATTCAAAGAACAGCTGCAGTTTCATTCTTTTGGATCTTTGCCTCTAAACAGTCTCTAGGTAGGCACATAATTCTTTAGCGTGTCAAAAATGCTAAGTGTTTAATGAATAAGTTCTGAACCGTAACTAATTAATGGAAAGATAAAAAAAAATGTAGTCAACAAATACTTTCTGTTTTTAACACTGAAGGATGGCTTCAAGATGTTGTTCTAAATAGGGCAGGTGAACATAATTGCAGTTCATGTCTTTTTCCAAGTTGAAGTTCTTTCAGTTCCTACACCTCTACCTTTTTCTTTTCGAACTTCCCACTTTTTATGAAACACAAAGAATTCCAAATTAAGTTCATGATGCATACATAATATTTTATATCCTTTCATATCTTCTTGCTTTTAAGTTCTTACCCTGTAATTACTTCATGTGAACAGATTTCTTGGTGTGGCTAAAATAGCCAGGTTACTTTTAAGTGTCACTGTGAGAGATCTTGTACCTTTAAGGGCTGTAAAAGTGACAT